AAAATGCATTTGATGCACAGAAGCAATTAATGTAACATTTCCTGGGTCCAAACTACAGTCAGGCAAAGATGAGACACAACATTCAGGAACTCTGTACTTAATAATTTTTAAGACTCAATTAAAATTAGGCATGCACCATTGTGAAATATGCCAGAGCACTACAGAATTTCTGTTGTTCTTGATTTTATGGTGGCCCAGATTTATGGCTAGTTAAAACTAAGCAAGAACAAAATGAGGCCGAGAATTAGCCACCATGCTCAAGTTTTTCCTTGCTGACTAGAAAAATGAACTCTGCAGGAGAGAGCTGTTTAAAAGAATTAGTGCCAAGCTGGTACAGAACATCACTGGTAACGAAGCAAGCAGTTTAGATCTTTACTTAAAAGGATAAGTATAGAAGCAAAAATCAATATCTGATTCAAGGCAGTTTGTCAACCAGTCATACAAGGTTATTAACATCCACTATTCCCAGCACTCTTTCAGAGGTAGAAAAAATGGGCACAGTTGAGGGATGATAAACATTCAGACAATAAGCAGATTTCAGTGTGCTATGAAGAGATGTAATCCAAATTTTTTAAAGATTATATGGAACAATGTAAATATACCTTGATCTTTTAAGCAAAGGATATTTTGCTAAGAAAAATGCACTGGTACAACAGCAACAATGTTGCACCTAAGGATGAGGAGCTTGGATGCAGTCATGAAGTCTGCAGAATTTTTTTTGTTTTTAAAAAGAGGTCACATGACCTAGTTTGGGAATGGAATAAGACGTACTGCAATTTGAACTCAGAATGAGGGACTAGAGAGAGAACACCTCTTTGTTCCATCTCTTTCTTTCTGACTCCCCTTAGCAAAGCCTGTGAGCTGAAAACCCATCAAAAGAAACCCTTATTAGGGGGAGAGTTCCTGAAGAGGATTTTTTCGAAATCTACCTCACTGCCTGAAGCAAAGGGATTTCAGCCGACAACAACTATTCCATGAAAACAATGCCAGCAGCTGAGTGTATAACTTTGGAATCAGATCGCCATGTGGGACAATGCATGATTTATCCTTTTCCCTTAAGATTATCGATTACTCAACCAAAGTACTTTGAAAGTTAACGTGCTGCAGAGGTTTCATTTTCTCTTTCTACTCATACTTGTGTGCCTTTTCTCCCCCCTCTTAATAAAAGGCTAAATATGTTCCCACAACCCAAACTGTTTGTCAATAAACTCTGCAATTTTGTTTAAGTTTACTTTTGTTAATAAAGCAGTTATTTGTTATTGACTGAAGAAACTAAGCTGACTTGTCCTTCATACTGAACCTGACAGTCTAAGAACTAAATGGTCATATCCCCAACTTAGTTAAATTAAAAATTTGTTGTGGCCAGTGGAGGAATAGGAATAGGAATAGAAAAGAAACAGTGTACCCTTCCAATTCAGTTGTAATAAGGCAAAGGACCACAGTTAGAGTTATTTAGGGAGAAATTCAAGTGCAGCACCTAAACAACTGAAGACACACTTGCAAAATAGCAAGGTAAAAGAAAGGGGAAGGGAGATGGAGTGGAGGCATGAATCAGAAGATAAAGACATTGGAATGGAGAATATAATGAAGCATAGGACTAAAGGAGCTAAAGGAAGAGGGACAAATATTGAAGTGGAAGACCACAAAGGCATTGGAAACCAGGAAAATTTTACGATGGGGTACTGGGAAACTACTAGAGGTCTTGTGCAGTGGGTAGCACCCCTACCTCAGAAATTCTAGGTTCAACTCCAACTCCAGGTCTTGATGGTCAAGGAAACTACATTTAAATGATTCCAATCTGGGCCGTTTGCAGATGGCTAGTGTGCGAGAGATTCCTAGTCAGCATATAATAGAACGAAACTGAAGCTTCTGACATCTCTAAACATACCTCCAGGCTGTACAACACATGAAAATGTGTGTTGGCATAGTAACTCAGGAAACTAGTTGGGTTAATGGCTGCTGTTGATCAGACTGATTCCAACAGCATGGGGTTCGATACCCATTCCAGCTGGTGTACATTTGGGACTTGCCTCCTTGCCCTACTCATGGTACAGTGTAATGCTGTGAATTGAACCTAGAGACAGAGACATAGACTGAATCATACAGAGAACTTCAGAAGAAAAGAGACTAACAGAGGGTTAGGAGAATTTAATCATAATCACAGAGAATGTACTTTCTGGATGACTGGGTCTGTTTTAATACTATGTCAAAAGTAAAGCTGATTTGAACAATTCAAATACGGAATCGTGGGGATTCATTTAGGATGTACCTGTGTTCTCAAGACCATGCACTCACCAGGTCAAATGCCAGAATAAAAAAAAAATCACAACAATTTTAAGCTAAGGGTGGGGTGGGTGTGTTTGATTGTATTATGTCTATGGTTCACTAGAATGGAGGTGGACTTGAAAAGGGAATATTTTATTGGAGGTCTCTCACCTCCACAGTTGGTCTTTAGAATGCCTCCCCTAGCTCTTAACTCTAGGTCACCTGACCAGCTGTCTTAAAGGGGCAGCACACACCTAACTGCATACATTACAGATTGGTTGGAAAGTCAATTCTGATTGCTTTTTCCATGCCAACAATAGGGTGCCCCATCAAGCTGAGATAATTCAAGGAAAGGTTCAAGGTTTGAAAATATTTCTTTTATTTTAAAACGGGTCTGAACAAGTGAATGCGTTGCTTCTAGTTAATGTAAATGAGCCATTTTCAAGCTTGACTAATTATCTTAAATTAGTTGTCAGTGCAGAGCAATTAGCAATCATCTCCGGAGTATTGTGAGGTGTATCAGGCACTTTCAGATTTGAACGTAGTAGCCTTTGATCCATTTGGAAGTTTGTGCATGACAGAGTGAACAAACGGTTCAATCAGATAGTCACAATTGTGCCAGATAGCTTTGATGTACTTTATTAAACATCAAGGTTAGCAAATGGATAGGGTCCTATTTACAAAATTGCTGATAAGGCCAATCAGCTATAGGAATCCCAACGTGTAGATTAATCAGTAAAGGTAGGCTTGATAGAGACAGAAATAGCAAAACAAATTTGTGGATTTCTCAGTGACACCATTGAGAAAAGGAAGTGCATTAAAAGTCCACCTCAAAAATGAACTTGCGTACAGATGAAAATATAAAATTTATAGCTAGAAACTGTATGAAACGAATGTTCTAGAACTCCAGATTTAAGAAAGGATCAGCCCATTGCCCTATCAAATCAGGTTCCAGGTGAGAGCTTGCACAATAACCCGAGACCAGGTTATTTTTCTTGTGTTGCAGATATCTAACATCAATTTCCACTTGCAGCTGTAAGGCAACCTTAACATACTCCAACAAGATTGTATTCATCTATGCTGCTACAGAAGCATTTCAAGTTATCACCAGACGGAAAGAACTGCAGATGCTGGAAATTGGAAACAAAAACAGAAAGTTGCTGGAAAATCTCAGCAGGTCTGTCAGCATCTGTGGAGATAAATCAGAGTTAACATTTCGGGTCCAGTGACCCTTTATCAAAACCATCCTGAAAAAGGGTCACTAGACCCGAAATGTTAACTCCAATTTCTCTCCACAGACGCTGCCAGATCTGCTGAGATTTTCCAGAAATTTGTGTTTTGGTTTGAAGTTATCACACTCGTTGCAACATGAATACACAGGTATGTCCTCAGCCATTACATCAAATTAAACAGTAAGATCGGAAGACTGCAAAATAGATGCTGCTTGAAAAGGTCAACACGTCCTCTTTTTATCAGAAAGGAAGGTATCTGCTAGATAAATCATGCATTCAAACGAAAATTGCAGAATATTGCACACAACAAAGCCATCTTAGTAAGTACATCCTAAAAAGCAACGATACCCAAGAAAAGGCATGTCTAAGAGCTCATAGCAAAGCAGGAAGGACACAAAATAATTTTGCTGTTTTGTCCCATCCTATCACCAATGTAATAACATTCAGAAAAATATTCACTTATAAAAACCAAATTCAGCCAGTCTTGATGGGGTTGAGAATAAGTGGAACTGATGCAATTACAAATAGCTGTGGCCACAAAGAAATAAAGGAAGTTGTGTGGACCATGACAGCAGGAAGCACTGAGCTAATTTATTGCTTTAAATGATCCAGTTCATTTCTTCCAAAAGTCTCATGAAAGGCCACAAATGTCTTCACACATTCGCACTCTTCATTGGTATGTGTAGCCGAGTAACAACTGTTGCTAAATCTTCACATATTCTATCAATTATAAGGAGTTAATTAATTTGCCCCTGTGTGACTACGTCAGACCATTAGGGAGTAAATTCCCTTTTGTACGATCATCCACTGTTTTACAATGTAAACAGGACCATGGCCCAGCAAAGCTAATATGTCATAATTTCATAACAATCTTGACAGTTATTGTTGTAAAACATATAAACAGATAAATTAGGAGCAGGAGTGGACCATGTGGCCTCTCACGTTGGCTTGGTCATACAATAAGATCATGGCTGAATAGATTACTCAGCAGCCCTGAATACCCACGACAATCTTTCTCCCCCTTATGAAAAATACTTACCATTTCTTATCTCAAGCCAATTTTAGAAAATATAAATATGGATGTAGATTTTCAATCATGGTGTATATTGTCACAGAAATTGACATTCACAAAATGCAGGTCCTTACAGGCCTTTAGCTCACGTTCTGTTCCAAGTTACTTACAGAATGTAAAGAATCTTTAATTAACTATTATCACAACTGGAATTAACTACCCGATTGTATTGAAGAATATAAGTATTCATTGAAATTATAGTCCAATAACAAAGTTTTAACCAGTGTCAGTTAATGCTAGGATCTACTGCTATTACTGTCCTGTGCTACCATAAGCTTCAAAATCAAATAAATAGTACTTCAGTTAATTGGATGGCAAATGCAAATGATGTTATTGAATATTCATACACCTTGGAGACTTTTGAGGATCAACACTAGTACAAATATTTCAATGGAGTTTATAGTCTGTCCTCCGTCCCACAATATACTTACGTATTGCACACAGTCATCGTTTGACATGTATCGCCAGTGCAGAACTCAGAGATGGTGCTGTACTGTAAGTTTATATGGTTGAAGAATGTTGTTGCTAAAGAAACAGGAGGAAAATAAAAATGTTATATGATGGCATTTATGTCTGACATCACAAGGCACCACATTTATAGAAATGGTTGTAAATCAATTGTACAAGGTAGTTTACATTGAACACAAAAAATATGATCGGATGAAGAGCCATCTTGTTTTAAGATTTCATCACCACCTCCTAATTGATGTGAAATAGTCAAATATCTGCATGAACAGCAGATGGCATTACGAACAGAGTAAATTTATACAGGATGCAAACTTAATTTGACTCAAGGATATAGAAACTAGTGAATACTGTTTCCATGAAATTCTAGCTTTAAAATTCTGTTTCAGGCCAGGTATTTTAATGACAATTAAATCAAAAATGTAACTTAGGGCAGGTTTTATAGAAAATAAAATGTAAAAGGTGGCAAGGAAAGGAGAAATAAATGAGTGAACTTTACATAGGTGGGCACTTCCATGTCCTCCAATGGATTCTTGCAATCTGAAGTTGTAAATAACATGATATCGTACCTAGTACTACAACATCTTCATATGGGCAACTTTTCCTTGCTAGTTTTCTTCATTTTGACCTAAGGGTGCTTTGCTGGTGGATGGTTCTGGACATCCACCAGTACTGTGGCAATGATGTGGCAAGTCTATGAATGGTCAGTCATCAGATGATGCAACTACCAGCAGAGGTAGGCACAATATTTACAAATCTTCAGCCGCAGTGAGAACACTGGACAACATGGTTTTATGAAAGATAAATTTTATTTGCATAATACAGTTTTTCAAGAATATAACTAGGAGGATAGATAAAAGGAAACCAGTCAGATGTGGTACATTTGCTACAGGCAGTCCTCCCATTGCAAAAGGGTTCTTTCTGGAGTCTGTTCACCAATCGATTAGTTTGCAAGTCAGAGCACAATGCAGTACAATAGAAAGCAGCTACTCATAATTACAGGAAATGTCCGCACGTCAGATCTTTAAAATTAAAGCCATGTATGGATCACAGTCAAGTGCGAGAGTTTGTAAGTTGGACGTTTGTAAATCAGGGACCCCCTGAATTTCCAAAAAGGTATTTAGCAGTGTCACCAAGGTTACTATTACTGAACCAGTTGAGTTCAGCAATCTAAGGATCAAAAAGTATCAGGAGAAGGCCTAATTACATGCATCAAATTATATTCAGGTTTCCTGAACGTAATCCATCTCATCTACAAAACGTTGGCACATAAACAGACCATTTGGGCTGTCCCCACCAATGTTTCTGTTCCACAAAACTACCTCCTGTGGCAATCTGGGAAAATGCATTAGTGCAACAAACCAAAGAGGAACTTACTATTGCTAGCTAGCCATTCATTCAGGTCAATTTCACGTGGTAAAGTCACCAGTTCCTTAAAGTTGAAATCTATTATTCTTGCTTTGGTATATTCAGGCTCCAGATACAATTTCTTCTCCTCTGCTCCTGTTTTTTTACCGTTTGGCTTAGTCTTTGACTTCCTGAAAGAAAATAAACAAGAGATTAATTGAATGAGACTGGATTGGATAAATTTCAATTTGAAATGTGTACTATTTTGTCTGTAGTCTCAAACATTCATGATTTTTACATGAATATCACAAAAGGAAATTCAATGTGCAGTGTGTTGTGCAAGACAATGAAATCTGAACAAAAACAAAATGAGCATGGGAATGGGGAGGAATGCCAAGATATTATTCCTTGCCAGAATATACCAAATAACAATCACCATAAAGATCTGTCTTCCCCTCCGTACTTCCTGCTTTATTATAATTCAAATGGAAAGGCTGTTCTTCATGATAACGTGATTGAGTAGCAAAACAGAAATGCATTTTTTAAAACATCCAAAGAAAATTGCATAGTTGGAGCTGTATACTGTACTGAATGTCAGTACTGCACCAATCCTTAAATGACAAATATTATTCAGCATTTTAACCATGTATATTATTTAGCCTTCACCCGCTGTCCAGCACAGATGCCCAGTTCACAAGAATGACACTAATGATGTAATGTTCTGAGTAAGAATGCATTAGCAAAGTACTGCAGTTACTTTAAACCCAAATTACCTCAGTTAAGCCAAATCATGTAACTCCTCCATAATCGTGCAAAGTCCAACTGAGTTTGTGAATTTTACATACTGAATCACAAATTTTTATCTAAATCAATCTTCCTATTTAGATGCAGAAAATTGCCCAAGGTGTAATATAAAATGTTATTCAGGTGAATTCATCTCGAACTTTCATATTTAAACTGAATTATTTCCATTTTTCTTTTACATGTGAACAATTCAAGTCAAGCAGAGAAGGAAGGTACTGATCTCCCTAAAATTGACTAACTAGAGAAGACTGAAGGCACAAATAGCTCAGCAATGTTTAAAAGTACAGAACAACAGCACAATGCTCAACTGTAATCCCAATTACTCCACCCCGATATCCTTTTTAAGTAACTATTTTGTATATGTATCTTACTTCACGCAATTCCCTGACAGCAAAGCCCAGCTTACTGATGGAATTCTTTTGAATGCTGCACGAACCAACTGCTAGGTGAATAGGTCATTAGACAGTTAGACCCATTCTCTCTGTCCTGACTCTCCCCAAAAACTAAACAAAGATCAGGAGCCCACCATATTTAGAATCACATATATCCAATGGTATCATATTTATAGGCACACTTTCTGGCTTGAGTGACTCAGTATCACATGCAATGTTTTTCCAAAGGTCTAAATGGTTTCCTTACAATATCATCCCATTTGAAACTCATTTGGCTGAATGGCTGCTTTACAACACAGCGACACCAACAGAGGGGGTTCAACTCCCATACCAGCTGAGGTTACCATGAAAGTCTCTCCTTCTCAACCTCTCGCCTCGTCCGAGGCGTGGTGAGCCTCAGGTTAAACCATCGGCAGTCGTCTCTCTCTATGACAGAAATGCTATGATCCTCTGGGACTTTACCTTATCACATTTCAAAGGAATTAGAATCTATTAACTTTAGCCAATTACTTTGCTTTAAAAAATATTTAGCGATATAATTAACCAAGTTAGTTAAATAGCAAAGGAAGCTTTTTGCACAGACTAAGACAATGCAAACTAAGTAACCAAGTTTGAAATGCATTGTAAACTATTAATTCTGCATATGATAAAGGTGGAAAGCATAAGTGCCTTTGCCAATTAAACAAGACTTTGTTATTTTAGGTTTCAAAGGATGCCAGAGTGCTTCATATGCCATGTTGATATTATGTTGCCCCATATAGCGAAGATGATTAAATAATCAGTTTGGGAGCGGAATGTTGGCCAGGACACAGGAGGAAAATATCTACTGCTCTTTTGAATGCATTCACCTGAACCTAAAAAAGGAACAGATGGGTCCTTGCTTCTCATCTTATTTAAAGGATGGTATCTTCAATGTAGTCTTCTTCAGTACTAAACTGCATCATCAGCTGGGGATGGAACTGAACCTACCACCTCTGATGCAGGCTTGCTGGCACTTTCTAGACCTATTTCAATTGAGTCCAAGTAAAGTGAAGGATGTGGAAGTCTTTCTATGCAAGTGCAAAATAAGAAGATACTTTTTCCAAAATAGATGCTTCAGTAACGATCATTGAAGAGGAAACAAAACTATTTTCAAGTTTTAATAATCTCTGTAGAATAAATGCACCCCAGGTGGCCATAAACCTCAGAAAGTACCTTACACCTCATCACAGAACTGGTCAGACAGGAAACTCAAAGTTGCTGCTCATTCTGTGAATCCTGAAAGATATAATGGTGTGGTGGGTATTCATATGGTGAGGAACAGGCCGGATCTTACTTCTGAGTAAAGGGTAGATGGTTGGGAAGGAAGGAGACAGAAGGAACTATATAATGGAAGTAAATGTATGCTCTTGAGGTCATGGATCCAGCATCTTGAAGTGTTTCCCAACCATAATCAAATACAGCACTAATTAGCTCAAAACATCTATCCGCAGCTAAACTTCATTAGTCTACTTGCCATCGTATGACATTTTGGACACCATCCAGTTGTTCATACCAGGCATCAGCATTTTTGGGAATAACATTTTTCTGGCAATGCACACTGTTTTTCCTGTTCGATTTATACAAGGAAAAAAAAACAGTAATATTGCCAGATGCCTTTTTCACCCTATTCTCACCAAAATCTTTTCCTTAATAGGTAATCTCTGTTTAACATTTCCAGGATCTGCTTTTGCAAATCAAATCTTGAGCTGATGCAGAGGCACGGATATGCCGGAAAGACAGAAAGGAGTCATTTTAATATGCAGCTGTAACTCCATCAATATTGTTACATATGTGGAAGATGTTAGAATTCACATTTCTGAAGAACTACAACTGGTCAACTGTTTTAGATCAGTTCAAGTAGTTTAAGTTTCAAATTCCTGCTAAACAACCTACAATGCACCAATGGAAACATGGCAATGCTGCATAGATTTTTCATTTAGTCTCTAACACTTGGAGCCACATATTTTCAGTTCCGATATATTCAACATATTTGCACTGCAAACCTATTTTTTATAGCAATGATAAAACAACATACTTTGCCACAATGATGCAACTGGCAGCTGTTTCAGAATACTTAAAGCAGTTTTGTGGGTCTTCATAAACTGCTTTGTAAATCACAGCCAGCTGCATCTTATCCTATATAATCCTTAATGGAGGTTTGCAGAGCATTTATCATAGTATTACAAGATTAACTGAAATCTATTTCAGCTCAATATCAAATCTGGAAAATGCAACCACAAACAACTGTAAACCCAATCCTCAAAAAAAAAACTGGGAGGGGAATGTAGTAAGGATAAGGCCAATTTGAATTTTTGAAACAAGCCTACAACCTAGGGAAGAAGCTGTAGTTGTAAGCAAGTCACACAGCATTCCAGCTGAAAAGGCAGGCAGCTAGCACAATGTTACCAGGCATATGGCATTGATACTTAACCTTATTTGTATACAAATGAAACTTTTCCATTTGCAACCAGGTTTGTAAAACAGTATAAAACAGCACAAGCATGTGTCATCCTTTAATCAGGAGTCTATTTTTGATACAATTGGTTTCTCTAAAATGTTTGTTTGAATTACTATTATGACAACAGCTACATTTACTTATTCCTCCTAGGTGCCATCCTGACTTGTTGTAAACATTCGTAAGACTTGATAATACAACATAGCATTCGTTAAGCTACCGTGGTTGAATGCTGATTGTTTTCATTTTGGTAATAGTGCTACTTTGTTCTTGATAGAAGTAAAGTCAACTTGCATTTGAGATTCACTACCAGTCAAAGAACAGCATTGTGCACTCTTTAGAATGTATTGTCCTGGCTTGGTACTCTATCATTTAAAGAAAACAAATAGACACTAGGCTGAATTTTGATGATGAAAGGTTATATTTATGTACAGTTTTTTATTTTTGGCAATTTGTTTTCTTTACAGTTAAATGCTCCTCTCTGCCACATTTGTGTAGTTAGGTCCTTTACGTGAAAGGAATGAATGTACAAGGTAAACACAAGTGTTTCAGAATACATTCAAATTACAACTCTAGGATTGGTGCAACGTCAACAGTTTTGTACTGATGCTACAGTAATAGGGGAAACAATCTGAATCCAGCAACAAGGCCTGATATGACAGCAGGACAAAATTGAGTGGAGCCTGATAAAGGATGATATCTCACTCTTTTAAAACTAATTAAAGCTGTGACATCTAATTTCTACATGTTCTACAGGACTTCAAAGCAGTTTCAGTATTATATTTAATGCAACTGTGTTCATGAGCGGCTGCTTTTTAAAGGAAAGGGATGTGTCAACCCAAGCAACTTCATAAATCACAGGTTTGTACACAAAGTGTAACTTGCATTTTAGTTTATGGGTTGGCTCTCAGTAGAGCTGGCCTATTTTCTGCTATTAATACCTAGTCTTCATCTATATCATTTCACTATCGCTGGTAGAGATCCCTTCACCTTTTACTCTGGCCACCTTTACTAGCTGTTCCACTTGCTACTCTTCCCCACTTTTTCTACAGCATAAAACCTGGGTCTTTTCCAGCGTTCTTCAGTCCTGGAGAAGTCATATTGGACTCATCACATTAACTCGGTTTCTCTCTCCACACATCATCAGAACTGCTGCATTTCTCCAGAATTTTGTTTTAATTTTAGTACTCTGCAGATATATTAAAAAATTCAAAGCATGATTCCAATTCATCATGCTACAAATATCTACTCGGTACAACACATTACCTATGGCTAAGGTGTGCAGCTTTGAGTAGCACATTATACACAACCTACCAATAAACTTAAACATAGAAATACAATTTACGTTTAAGAACAAAATTCAAATTACACTATAGAACATATTACAGCATGCTAGAATAAAATGATGTCCCTAAATATGGTCTATATATAGTATTCTACAACATCCATTTTCTCATATTATATAAATAACCCAAAATATTCTACAGAAGTGAATATTTTACCAACTCTAAACAACTAT